GCAGCCTGAGGTCAGTTAGTCCAGTCTGTTGTAAAAGCAGCAGATATCAGATTATAATGAGTTAAAGAGTTAAAGAGGGGGAAAGAGAATAGAAGGCAAAGCCAGTCTCTTGGGGTTTTCTGAGTTATTAGGTTAGCATGGAGATTAGCTGGATTACTATACAGGCCTATGGTGCTCCTCACCAAGCCAGCTGCTTTAGGCATTGCCATGGGCTCGGCCTACAAACTGAGAGGCTCCACAGCTTCTCAACTAAAACTGATAGTGCGAACAGCTTGTATTATTTACGAAATTCCAGCAGCGTCTGACGCTCGTAGATTAAGACGCATATATGAGACAGATGACTTTCAGACGTAAAACTACATTCAGTACCATTTTTGTCAGCTCAGAGTCGCTGTGGGCTTTACATACACTCACCTTTATCTTGTTAAGGTTAGAAAACATTACTGAATCTGTCTATTGTCCATTTCTGTTTTTACTATTTCACCCAATAAAAATGTTAGATTTACCTAAGCTGTTAAATATGGTTCTTATTAAAAGTGAAGGGACATCCAGAATAATACGCCATTGTTCATCTACAAAAAAAAGTCTACTTAAGCATCCAAAATAGTTGTATTTGAAGAAATATACATAAATACATTACACCGTGATACATACCGAAACAGTAATCTGAATTACAATTTTTGCCCACTACTAATTATGAACAGTATCAATTGTACGTGTCAAGTCCTGGAGGGCTGCTGCATTGTAGGGCTAAGTAACCCTCCAGAACTGACACCTTGGTTAAGTCTTAGGCCCAATTCCATTTCTTCTTTTCACCCTAACCCCTTGGAACTGAGTTACGGGGTAGTGGTTGAAATCTTCCTCTATGAAATGGGACCCTCAAATTAAAAGAGCATCACTTCATTAACAGCTACTAGCGCTGCTCTGTAGGCGACCCTGCCAGTCTGCAGTGACAGCAGAGGAGGGTAAAGTTCAGCTCCTCACTGCTGGGCTTTAGTTACATTAGGACATCATATGACTTCAAAGTTAAATTATTTATTATCACCACCCCTGATTCTTCAGTGATATGAAGCTGAAGTCCGATATTCACCAGCTTCTCGTTCTAATTTGTCCGTTGCACCTTAAATGGTGCCGCTGTTACATTCTGGGGCTTCAGGAGTCAGAACTAACGTACTGCACCATTTAAGGTGGAACAGGAAAGTTAGCTAGCTACCGGGACGTTAGCATACTATTAGCTATTTTTATTGCTTGTTATGAAGAAAACGACCATAATACACTGAAATGACATTAAACTAAGATAATATAGTGGTTATCTTAATTTTTGACAGAGAAAATTCTCACATTTGTGGGTTTCTCTGGTCTCTTGTTCAGCCATCTTGCTAATTTTTCTTTTTTTTCTCATATCACTCTGTTTGGAGTCTCTGAAAAACCTCCGTTTGGAGGGCCATGTAGCCCCAAAACTTCGCCCTACCCCTCTATCTCAACAAGAATTGGGACACCCTACCCCTAGACGTGAACGCACAAAACAGAGGGCTAAGGGCTAAGTGGTAGGGGCGGGGGGTGAAATGGGATTGGGCCTTAATGTCACAGCACTTTTGGGGAACCTCAGCACCAACCTCAGACAACACAAGTGAGCAGTGAACCAGCATCAGTCCAGCAGCAGTGGAAAGAGCTACGACTCCAATCCTGCAGGTGACGGATGGCTTTCAGGCGGTAAATACAGACAGACGTTGAGTTGTGTTTGGAAGTTTCCCTGTAAAGCACATGGTTTTACAGCCCCCCCGTCAGTCTTAAGCCGCATGCCGAATCGCCCAGAAGCCTTTTCCATTGATCCTGTGTTACTTTAATGTGGATGATGAATATCCAGGGTGAAAACCCAAAGCCCATTTAATCCAGCACCAGTTTTCTTGCAGCTCTCCCAGCCTCTGACTGCGATGTTGAGTCATGCTGGCCTTCACTGATTCAGAGCTATTGGGCTAATTAACATTCCAAATTGAATTGTAAGATAAAGCTCTGGTTTAAAAAACGTAAGATATTCTGTTTTTTAATGCTTCAACTCAAAACCTATTTTTATTTTAGCTTTTAACTAAGAATTGTTTATTACTTGGAGTACACAGTTAAAAAAGATGGTTCTGCAAGGGTTCTTTAGTAGAGGCAACAGTTCTACATAGAACCATCTTTACATGGTGAAATGGTTCTTCAGATTTATGGAGAATGTTGTATATGGTTTTAATAGAGCCTTTTTGAAGATAGTACCATTTGGAACCATATTCATCAATCTGAAGGACCATTTCACCATACAAAGAACCATTTAAGCAACTACATGGTTCTCTACTCAGCAGCACTGCTGTGTCTGATCCACTCAGACCAGCACAACACACGCTAACACACCACCACCATGTCAGTGTTACTGCAGTGCTGAGAATGATCCACCACCCAAATAGTACCTGCTCTGTGAGGGTCCATGGGGTTCCTGACCACTGAAGAACAGGGTAAAAGGGGGCTACTTAAATGTCAGCGTTCAGTCAGGCAAATACTAAACAAGGATATGTCTATGGAATGATAGTAGGGAGGAAGCTGCTACGCTCCAAGAAGAACATCGCTGCCTGTTTAAAGACCACCTGGATGAGCCAGAAGACTACTGAAGGAATGTTACGTGAACTGATAAGGCAGAAATAGAGCATTATGGCTTAAATGAGAAACGTTATGTAGCTCCTAAGACCATCTGAATGAGCCAGAAGCCTACTGAAGGAATTTTATGTAAACAGATGAGGCAAAAACAGAGAGATGTTACGTTTGGCGAAACCTGAACACTGCATTCCAGCGTAAGAACCTCATCCCAGTGGTGGCGCGATCATGTTTAGGGGCTGTTTTGCTGCCAGGACAGCTTGCTATCATTTGATGGCATTATGAATTATGATTTGTATCAGGAGAATGTCAGGACATCCATCTTGAGAACTCAAACAGAAGTAGTTCATGCAAGAAAGCCCACCAGCATCACTGAGATGAAGCGCTTCTCTCTGGACGAATGGGTCAATCATTGCAGCTCAAGACTATCACTTTTGCCTACAAAGACAATTAATGTCGGATCGCTGCTGCTGGAGTTTTTAAACACTGTGTCCACTCACTGTCCACTCTATTAGACACTCCTACCTTGTCAGTCCACCTTGTAGATGTAAAGTCAGAGACGATAGCTCATCTGCTGCTGCACAGTTTGTATCGGTCATTCTCTAGTCCTTCATCAGTGGTCACAAGACGCTGCCCACAGGACGCTGTTGGCTGGATATTTTTGGTTGGTGGACTATTCTCAGTCCAGCAGTGACACTGAGGTGTTTAAAAACTCCAGCAGCACTGCTGTGTCTGATCCACTCAGACCAGCGCAACACACACTAACACACCACCACCACGTCAGTGTTACTGCAGTGCTGAGAATGATCCACCACCCAAATAGTACCTGCTCTGTGAGGGTTCATGGGGGTCCTGATCACTGAAGAACAGGGTAAAAGGGGACTAACAAAGTATGCAGAGAAACAGATGGACTACAGTCTGTAACTGTAGAGCTACAAAGTGCACCTATATAGTAAGTGGAGCTGATAAAATGGACAATGAGTGTAGAAACAAGGAGGTGGTCATTATGTTATGCCTGATCGGTGTAAATCCACAAGAGGAGTGGAAAGAATGGAGCTTAGTATAGAAAACCAAACCAAAAGTTTGTCAATTGGTGGAAATGGAGGGTTAATACTTCTAATACTTCTGGGCCTCATTCACCAACTGAAGAAATTTCCTCTTAAAACTTACAGTTTTCATTAAGGTTCTAACGTTCACCAGTGTTTTCTTATTTGGGCTTTGTTCTTAGGTAATAACAGAATCTACACACACTCAAGAGCTCCAAGTTGCGAGCAATCTTCTTAGGACCTTTCTCCCATCCAAAATGCCACATCCACGTATGCAATATTTTTCAAATTGAACATCTTTTATTGCAGATGATCTCCAGAGGCCAAGTGCCTCCACTGGTAAATAAGTGTTCACTTGTGTTGGTTCTGGCAGTTTGCGGTCAGTATCTAAGTGCCCTAAAGAATTTTTTACGGTCATACCCACAATAATCCTCACAAAACTGAGAAGAAGTAGAATAAGAGTACAAAAAATGGCCCATTTTCACTCCCTTCAACACTCTTTCCCTGAGCATAACCTTATAAAGCGCAGGGGAACGTATGACCGCACTGCAATCCCTCTGCCAGTCAGACACATTCCATGATTCCTTCGGCATTAGCTATTTAAGGAATGTTGATAGCAAAAAAAATAAATAAATAAAACACATTTCTGATAAAATCCCCAAAATTTATGCTCGGATTTCAGAAGACAGTCATCGTTCTTGGAATTTTCGGAAAGATGTCTGCCACAGGCTACTTTGTTCTGTTTTAATTATGGTCCTTCTGAGCATCCCGCCTTCACATGTTTAACCCGTCCGCTTTCACTCATTCGCGATTTCTGTCTCCATGCTGTTACGAGAGCGTCCATGTCAAACGTGAGCGATGCACACTTGACCATCACTCAAGCGGGAGGTTAACCCTTCCGTTCAGAGTGTGGGTATGTGACTGGTTAACGGATGACGGCTCTAGATCATGGATGTCTTCTCCAGCCGCCATGCAAGCAGCTTTAAATGATTTACCCTCGCTTCCCATACGCTCTAAGTCCTGTGTTGGAAAAACACCTGCCACTGTCCAAAAATGGTATTTATGCCATTTTAATGTACATTTTTCTGAGATCAAACCGGCCTTTGGCTCCAGAGCCGTTCGCCGACCCGGGCACAGGTGAGAGGGGTGGCAAGGGAAGGAGGGGCAAAGGCAAACCCCCTTCCCCGCGCCTCCTCGGACAACTATATATGAACCAGTCTCCGGTACGCCTCAGCATCGTCGACCGACTCGCCCTGATTGCTACAGAGGGAAGAAACACAGAGAAGGAGATAAAAGAGGAAAATGTGGTCTCTTCTTAAGCTCACCATGCTGTTGTTCTGCGTTCGAGTGGGAGAGGGACACTGGCTGCGGACGCTACTGGGTAAGCCTGAGGGTCATGACCTTTAAAAGCAGTTGGGAGCAGAGAAATTTGTTCGAACTTTAGTACAAACCTGAAACCTGGTAATTCATAATTCAATTGTATTCCTTTACTAATCCCCAACTGATATCTGTGATTTTTTAGATAAGACATGAATTGAGGATATATATATACTATATATATAATACTTTTAGAGAGCACTGAAGTAAAATGTGTAACAAAAGACTGGATTTTGCTTTGGAATAATATACCAAATACTGACCAGTTAAAATTTCGTCACTGTTCAAAGGAAAACAAGCGTCTCCAAAACGGTAACTTTACAGAAAAGCACAAAAATGCCCTTAACTTTTAATGTAAGTTAATGTAAAGAGATCTTATTCTAAGTGATTTGGGGGCATTTTTATTGGTCCATTCATCATGAAATTCTCACACAGTGTAAAAGAGAACCGCCACATTCAAATGACGTAGAAAAATAAAAAATGGAGATGCATGTTTTTCTTTGGACGGTGACGATATGCTTCGATTAGCTTCGCTACCGAACCTACATAATTACACAATACTGGGGGGACAATTTCAACAGAACTTCCTTTACAACCACTCTTGAACTCCTAATTCATGGCCCTGCCTTTGTCTTCCAGAGTCAGGTGACCAAAGACCTGGGCTCCCCGAGGAGCCAAGGAAAGGAGGAGAGGGGGGGAAGCAAGAGGAAGGCGTGGTCCGGCCACGGCGCAGTGCCGAGGGACCGTGCGGCCTGCATTCCATCCTGCTGCAGGTGCGAGACCTAGGACTGGGCTATGACTCCGATGAGGTGGTGCTGTTCAAATACTGCAGCGGCTTCTGCCCCCGGCTGACCTCCAACCACGACCTCACGCTGGCCAACCTGCAGCAGAGCGGCGCCCTGCCGCACGCCGCCACGCCGGGGCATCATGCGCCCTGCTGCCGGCCCACGCGCCACGAGGACATGGCTTTCCTTGACAACGCTCATCGCTGGCACAAAGTGGAGAAGCTCTCGGCCTCCGCCTGCACCTGCATGGGCTAGCAGGCTGGAGACCCCCATGGAGACAAGGAGAGTTGACATTTTTCACAAACTGGCTCAGGCTGTACATAATGTAGAGAAAAAGACTTTATGTTTATGGGCGACTGGTCATTTAATGCTGTTTATCAAAACTTGGTGATTGTATTTGTTAAAGCGATGCTTGGGCCAAAAAACTGATTTTCATAATATTGAGGTGCGTATATGATGATTTAGGCATGCAGTTTAGTGGCTATAAGCTGCCTTTACTTATTAGCTACACTTATAGCTCCAGAGCAAAGCGAAATCAGCCAATTCCGGACACCAAACTACATTTAAACTGCCTCAATTAGATTTTTGGCCAAACCATCCTCTAAACTCTGACCTGGTTTCTTTTTGCTAGTGTTGCTTTTGGCGACTTCAGAACAGTCTAAGCCGATTCATTCAGCTTCGGGACGCGATTACTGTACGAAACGTTTGCGTGGCTGATGGGACTCTGCCAGAAATGCTGACCACCCTGCTGGCTTCGAGGCAACAAGGAGCATTCCCATTTCACAGACTTGCTCAGGCTGTACATAAGTTAAAGAGACGTTTCATACCTATAAGCAACAAGTGTAACGTAACACCATGTATCAATACGAGGCTGTCGTGTTTGTTGCTTTAGTCCCGGTTTCCTTTGCTACTGTTGTTGTTAATGACATCAGCTTTGGTTTGGAATCGTGACAGCCCGAACTGAAGTACGAATGTATTTATGTATAATAAATTATTTATTTATTTTTTAAACTTTTTTTTGGTTTTTAATTTATTGCTACTCTTTTCGTTCCTCTACGCTGTGTACATGATGTGTGCACAATTCCAATTAAAACATCCATAAAAATGATACGACTAGAATAATTTTTGTGGTGAATAAGGGATTCATTCAGTCTTTACTTCAGCTGGACTTGGACACATACTATAAAAGCACAACGAGTATCAGAAACGGCTCAGATTTCAAATTAAAAGCACTACTTTTAATCAGGCCAACTTAACCTTACGTCAGTCTAAAGACATAAAAAGAGCCCTGTAAGTCTGCTTGAACGCATTTATTCAGTCAGCGAAGTACAAAAGACAGCATAACAAAAATAAAATGAAACAGTTTCTGCTGGAATGAGTCCGGCTCATATAAAGACTTTCACCTGTCACTACTCAGCAATGACACTGTCCGCCTCTGTGTCCTCTGGCTCTGTCCCCCAAACCTGCACACGCCCCTCCATGGCTGTCAGTAGGCAGGGCTCTGTTGGGTGGAAGGACAGAGACTGGACGACGGCCTTCCCAACAGGCAGCTTCAGCGTGAGTGAGCCCTAGAGACAGAAAGGGAAAGATGACTGGGACAATCAGAAATGACTGGAACTGACTTTTGCAGTAAAAGTGGTACAGCATGATTCAACATTAGAAGCATTTATTCTGAAAAGACTATTCTGGGTAGTAAACGGGTACTAATGCATCATATGTGTATCCGTCACCAACACACCTCCACGAGATCCCAGCAGTAGACGTGGCCGTCCTCCGAGCAGCACAACACATGAGTGTCTTTGTTGGACAGACAACAGTCCAGCTTATAGTCTTTGTTCTGGTGCCCAGTATACCTGCACAGGGGTAACGAACAAACAGCAAGCAAATGAAACCGGTCAGCTGCAAATGTAACGTTAAGGAACATATCGCTGTTGGAAGAAAACCTCGTATCTCCAAAATGGTAACTTTACAGGAGAAGGAAAAAACACACTTTACTTTTAATGTAAGTCAATGGAACCAGACGTCTTTCCAAGCCATTTTGGGCTGTTTCTTTTGGTCCATTCATCATGAAATTTACACACAATGTAAAGAGCAACAGGCATTTTCAAATGATGTCAAAAACTGAAAAACGACAAAACTGGAGATACGAGGTTTTCGTCCGACAGCAGGGATATGTACGTCTTTGTCGGTGATTTGCTGACTCACTCTCCCAACATTTCTCCTGTGCTTTTGTCCAGCAGACGCACGGCTGAATCCAGACTGGAGCTCAAGGTACACTGGCCATCCTGACTGAAACACACACACGTGATCGGACCTGCATTGCATCACACACAGACACACATGCCCTCGAGTTAAAGACGATCCAAATCTGCTGTGAACAGTAACGCTGCGTTTACATGTTGGCGTTGAAAAAACTGCCGTTCTGTGCAGCCAAGAAAACACTGACATGCTGTCAAAATAGATGATTACCAGGTGATTATTTGGGGCCGAGTAAGGTCAGAAGTGTTTTTTTGTATTTCTGTAATAATACTGTGTAAGCTTGGTAGAGCTGGGCGATAGGGACAAAAATGTTATCACGATAAAAAATTTCATATCGGTCGATATCGATACATCGTAATGAATGTCAAATCATCATTTCTTTGAAGTTTGAAGGCTGATTTTTGCTCCTGGGTGGGTTATTTCTGTTTTAAACTCTCCTTTATGGTCAGAACACAACAAACACTCACCAAACAGTGGAACATTTCACAAGTCTGTCATGGGAAGTTTTGGGTCAGCTGGAAAAGCACGAACGCAATTTTTGTAATAATTTAAGAAAGAAAACACATTATTTTAGCAGTCTGGTGGCGAGTGCTGGGCTATCTGGTTACAAGTGCCAAAATGTTTAGTTTGTCAACAACGTCAGCTTAATAGGAACAGAGACATTAGCTGGCTCGGTGGGTCAGTGATGGATCACACTGCCTTACTGCCATCACTCCACCACATCCACGTCAGAGCGGATCACAGTATTCAGACTCCAGCTAGCAGATCTGGATTTCTCTATTCTAGCGCAGTAGTTTTGAGGGGTGAACCGCAGTATATCAGTATATCTGACGCTCGTGTGTAAAAGCATTAACTGCAGTGTGAATCTCACACCAGACAAACTGAGACCTCCTTTTAGCTACATTTAAACTGAATTTAGTTTTAGCTGAATTTAGCTTTTGTGTCTTGTTTGATCTACAGTAACATCAGTTCGCTGTGCTGTGTGAGTGACGGAGCGCTGCTTCAAGTTAGCCAGCTGCTAAAACCAGCTAGCCTGGGAAGCTAGCGTTCTCTGACTATCCAAATCCACACAGACATACAGCATCTTCAGTTTACTTTCGTTTAAATCAGGGCTGTAACTCACATGAACCACTTCTTTCCTTCACTTTATTGCTTGGGAAGCACTAATACTAAAATATGACTGAGCGCTGTAACAGTGCTGTAGCTGAGAGGAGCAGATGTGATTTAACGCTGCTAAAGCTGGTTAGGATGTTAGAAAAGAGGTGAGTTCACTGTAGGTCAGTACAGTTACGCCACTGACCTCGTCACTCACACTCGGTCACAGGAGAGCAGATCGCCGGTCGCTCCACTCAAACAGGGAATGTATAACTCCACATTTCAGACGTTGCTAAAGTGTATTTGGTGACTCATTTTGCTTGTCACCTCCTCCCTCTCTAATCATGTCGAAAACCTCAGACGTGTGCCCTCTTGTGGCAACAGCAGAGTAGTGTCGCTTTCCTTGCAGTAGAAAACGCCACCAGGGCTGTCGCTAAACGTGGTAGTGTGAGAGGGATCTTACACTGAAAATTTATTGAACATTTCTTATAGTTCAATTGAGGAAAGTTATATTGTGATAATTATCGTTATCGTTTTATTGCCCAGCTCTAGAAAAAATCTGGTTTATTCCAGGTTGGGAAAATCAAACTCTTGAAGTTATGTTCAATGGTGGCAGCAGACTTTTCTAATGCTGCTCCTTTGAAAACAATGGAATATTTGGTTTGCCATCAACTGCCTACTGTCCACATGTAAACGCAGCATAAGGCATCGATGTTTGAAGTCAGAAGCAACAGAAACACTCACTACTGACGAAGTCGACATGCAGCTGACCCATTCGCAGGTCATAGCGCCTGAGTCGGCCATCTACAGACCTGACAAACACAAAAAACAGTGACTTTTCATTCCACACTAGTGTCATTTTCCAATGAACGCAAGTCTACGTGGATCGTTCAAAGTCAGAGTTGACTATTTTTTGGACTTTAGACTAGAATCCTTTTACTTTAAATGACACTGTACCTTAATTAAGTTTATTGTATTAAAATAATCATTTTGTCATTACCGAAACAATCATAACACTACTGAAACTTTACTAAATGTTTCAGTAGTGACAGTTTTAGCTATAATTTTTTATTTCTGTGAGCAGAAATAAGAAATGATAGGCGGTACATGACAAGCAAACACAGGTTTGAACAGTTATATACACATAAAGTCATAATATTTTACACTAAAGCACACAAATGTTGAAAATGTGTGTTTCGGTAGTGACAATTCTTAATGTTACATACTGATTTTCAGTATGCACTTTTACTCTAAAGTGCAGGGGCGTGGCTAAAATAAGGCTCCGCCTATGGACAAAAAGTCTGTTTCTGTAGTGACATGAAAATGTGTGACAGCATTTTCTGAATATTTGTTTTTAGTTAAAAATTAAATCATGAATCTAAATCTTTCTAATTCACTTCAAACAATCAGAAAGATTAAAAAATTGAATGTTTTTATTAAAGTTTACTTACAAAAGCCAATTAACTGGGCTGTAAGTTTTTATTTGCTTAGAAAATCACTAATACTCATTGATCTTATTTCTCACCCGGTCAGCAGCTCGTGCTCTGCCACCTTCAGACTGCTGACGCCATCTCGCGCCTCATCGAGAACCTGAATGGGCTCCATCCTCCTAGATCGAGTGTCCCAGCAACGCACTGTGCCATCTATAGAGCCTGGAAGATACAAGTCAAACCAGTAACACAGGCAAAGAACTGCTGCATGTCTACATGTGGAAATGAGTGAGTAGGACTAGTTTACTGCTGTTACACTGACGTCTGAGTAGACTCACCCGACAGCATCACAGTGGCTTCTTCATTAAACCGCACACAGTTCACTCTCTGCATCACAAAGACAAGTGCAATGTGAATACGAGAGACCACAGACACCAAAACCTAGACGTCCCACTAACCAGTAGAAGTCTA